AACCTCTCCAACTAATTAGTTCCTCCATTGTCTTTATTTGTCGGAGCTTCGACGATCTGAGGTGTCACTCAAATCGGAGACGGAAACTGTTTTATCTTTGGATTAGAACGTCGGCTACCAGAGATACTACCGGGGCGTATCCAATTTTTAGAGAGAGGATTTATTCTCAAGTCGATTTCACGGTACCTTTAATTCTTGCAATATTTATTTAAACTAGCAGTTTGAAGGAAAAAAATGGGTGAGCCTACCGTATAACACAAACTTATTATTTTTCTGAAACAAAAAAAAAAAAAAAAATAGATCCAATCATATTTACTTCATAAATACTTGAATCATATTTTGGATGAGTTTGTGCAACATCACAGTGCTCATCACCCTAATCACCTCAGACAATGAAGACTTCTAGAATATCTTTTTTGTATCTCATTTTAATCACAACCCCAACTTATTTGTTTCATTAATGCACAATTGAATAAATGGCTCTTTTTTCATCTTCAATTCAACGGCGTGAGTTAACCGTAAAAACTACAAGCCAATCATCTCTGTCCCCTATTTTACTTGGGAATGAGACGTGGCATACTTTCAATGGGTTGTATATGAATCGAATTGAAATGAATACTGCAGTATTTGATTCAATTCGCGAAAATATTCGACTGTTTGATTCATTTCAAATTTTAAAATGATATATGTATTCAATTTGAAATAAATTTTAAATTATTCGATTCGATTCGATTTTAATATTATTTAGATATTTGTATCGAGATGTGATTCATCTTATCCGATTCGATTCAAAGTATTTGATTCAAAATTTTCTTAATTTAAAACTTTAACAATAATATTAAAGCATCTTGATAAAAAAATTGCACATATTTACTATTTATTATTTTTTCAAACTTATACAAAAAGATTTTTTTTGCTTTAACATAAAAAAGTTATTGTATAGTTTTGTTTTAATTATATTATATTATTTATATAAAATTTCAAAAGGATTAGTATTAATAAATATTTCTGACACTTTTTTAAGCTCTGGGTAAAAATAAAATTGTAAAATATAATATTTTAAAATAATATTACTAACAAATATAATAATAAATTTCACAAAACTAAAAATTATTTTAATTATATATTCAGTAAATGGCATACTTACAAAATATATTATCTATCAATCGAAAATAAATAATATCAATAAATTAAATTTCTTATTTAATTATAAAAAGTAACAAATATTTATTTATTTTTTTAAATAAAAAATATTAATATTATTGAATAATATTTATACAAAATATAGATACAAATATATAATATTATTTGATTATACAATATATATATATATATATGTAAATATACAATTTAGGTTATAGTTATATGCTAAATTTTAATATATAACAACAAACAATATATGATATAGCAAAAGATAGCACATTAATTATATTAAGGACGGTGATTAATTTCAAAAATATTGAATTAAGAAATTCAGCATGCTATCCACCTTATTTAATTATTAAGGGTGGTGATTTCAGCAATGTTAAATTAATAAATTCAACATGTGATCCACCTTGTAAACTGATATTACATGATAATTGTCAACACAATACATACCTTCATTGATCTTCATAAACACACTCTATGTATAAAATTCAATTAATGTTGTGTTAATTGAAATTAATAATATATTATCTTTCTATTTATGATGTGCTGATGGGAAAAATTACCACTATATACACAGATTTCTCATAGTTAGCACAGTAATCACTCTCTACAATTTACTACAAATATTATTTACAAATTAAAATATAAATATACAAAATAAATAATTTTACAAATACTAAAAAATTACAAAAAATTAAAATAGATGGAGAATTTTTTTTTAAAAATAAAAAATAAAAAATAAAAAGCAAATTAAGAAGTATTTGTTAACCTTAACTGATTTCTCACTAATCCACTTATTTTAGTTTTACTTTATTTTGATAAAAACCTATGGAATTAAATTCGAAATTTAGTGTCACACAAGTTGGGAGACTCCGTTTTCAATTACTCTATCTATGATAAGGAAATGTATAATTTGTCTCAAATTATGACTTCACTATGTTTGCCTAAAAGAGTTTGTAATTTATACGAACTATAAGTCAAATAAACGTGTTTGTTTGGGGGTTTGGATTTTGGATTGGGATTTGAATAGTAAAAATTTTGAATTTGAATAGTTGTATGATGTGATATAAATAGGGTTTGATGTGATGTTTTGAATGTAAAATTGATTTTTAGTATAATATAAAAAATAAAAAATAGGTGTTTGATTTGATGTTTTTGGGGGGAAAAAATTGGATGAATAGTGGAAATCCTCCAAAATCCTTCAAACAAACACACCCTTAGAGTCATTAACAACTCAACGAGCAACATGTAAGATTGGGTCGCCTTTATTAATACTTTTCTATATGCGATTAAATATAAGCAAGGATTAAACAATCTAGTCACAAAACATTCGCTAATCACCATTTTACAAGAACGATTGTTAGGGATTTAATATTTACATTTATCTTTTGCATGCAAATTAAGGAATATTAGTATTTTAATAGTAGTGAATATATCTAATAGTGTAAAGACTAAATTGTTCTTATTTTCAGATATAACTGTATAATAAAGTAATGATAAAATGATAAATAAACATAAAAAAAAAAAGTATTAATAATTAGTGGTAAAGTTCACAATTACTAAAAAAATAAAATATATAAATCTTTGAATTGGACATATGGGAATAGAAATACATTAAAAGTGGACACGAAAAGTACAATTTTTTGTTCTATTTACGAGTCACTTGAGAAAGATGGCCGCGAAGAACTATAAGGATGACAACTATCTATATTCTTCGAAAATATGTCGTATATTCGTAACATTTATTCTATATTGGATATGGATTTTATAATATATACATAGGAATGTTAATTTATTTACTCATTGTAGTTAGTTGATAGGGTTACTTGTGTTAGTAATTTCTACGCCCCTAGGATTTGATTCTAAGTTTCTAACATAGGATCATAACTTCATTCAATTGATTTTTATTTATTTATTTATTTATTTTTCATTCAATTGATTTTTATTTATTTTTTTCAATTGCAATTGGTTGATTAGTTTTTTGCTATTTTTTTTCCCTTTCTTTTTAAAATTTATTTTTTACAATATTACCCCATTTTCATTTTGATTGTTTTGATTTAGCTGTCAATTTTAGCCCATATTATTAAATATCGTAAGTCAACTTCGGATTGTTACAAGAACTCATATGTTAATTTAAAATAATAATAATTAAATAAAACTATGGTTGTAGTTAAAGTTAAATCAACATCATAATTTGATTAGATTAGCAAATTAATATGAAATAATTAGCAAATCATCAAACGACGGATAACGTATTACCACTTTAGCACTGAAACAATTAGCAAATTGTCACGAGAAAGATATCATATATTGTGTTATATAATGTGTTATATATTATATTAATATTTGTTATTTTCTTTATAAACATTTGATGATTAGATCAAATTACTAATGTACTGAAATAATAATATTATTTGCTGGAATCAAGATATATTTTGTTACATATAATATATAATATATTAATCGAATATGTATTATATATTACTTCCTCCGTCCGCTTTGAAAGTTTACATTTACTTTTGGCGCGGTGTTTAAGAAATAATAGTATTTTAATTATAGTGAGTAGTTAAAAGTAGTGTAATGACATTTTTGACCTTATTTTTTTGTGTAAAAGTAACGATGTGATGTAAAGTAAGGGTATTTAATGAAATGTTAACTTTGTAATTGGACGTTCCAAAATAGAAATATATAAACATTGTGAGTGGACGGAGGGAGTATATTATTATTTGTTATATTCCTTATAGATATTTGCTAATTAGATCATATCAGTACTAAGGTGATTTGACCTAATCAATACGATAACCAAAGTAATAAAACTATGTAAATTTACATTTGATTCAAACAGGCAGTTCGAACCATCAATCCCTCATAAAATAAAAAACTCACTCGAGATTCATTGGAAAAACTTGCCGGACTGCTCTCTCCTCTCCCACTCTACATCTTCCCTCGTGGGTTATAACTTCTCTCTACTAACGAGACTCTCGACCTCTAAAATCACATGTATTATAATTTCACGAAATTTACTCACAGTTTTAATCCTGTTAATAAATCTCTGAGAGTGGGTCTTATAATGATCTGATCAAATTAATATGTTATATTATAATATAATATATATTGTATTATAAATATTTTACAATATATATAATTTATGTTATGTATATGTATCATATATATATATATATACTGATCTGGTCAACTTAATATCATTTTGATACGACTGAATCAACCTGAGATCTGTGCCTCTAACTGTCAAACACAATGGTAGAATATGTATATTGCAAATAGGCTAATCGTTAGGGTTAGGGTTAGGGTTAGGGTTAGGATGAAAGTGAATAAGGGTTTGATTTGGTTTGAATTCGACGGATTGGATTATGGAATCGACCAATTTAATAATTATAGAGGGGCATGATGAATAAGACTATCAACGATTAAAATTCTCAAACTTGTTTATTTTTAGAAAAAAAAAAGAGATTAAAATAAGATAAGTCATGTTACTTATAAAATGTATTATATATAATTAATTAATATTAATATACTATAATTATAATCGAATTGTCATATCAGATTTAAATTAAGAGCCTCGATTTTAAGTCCGACACATTTATTATAGTATCGGATTTGTGGTGTTCGTATATATAATTAAATCGAAACTCTTAACTCAAACTTAGTTATTCGTTTGAGTTGATATCGAATTTAAGGAAGACAAATCACTTACATGTAAAAATACTAAAATACCCTTTTCAACAGTGGCTAGTCCATATAGATACATGACTAAAATTGTAATTTTCTTATGGCTTTAAAACCATTAGGCAATTTATATGATTTTTTATTTTTTTAAAAAAAATAATAGTATCATGTTTAATTAGAAACTTGGCCAAGTTCTTCGTCCTCCTCTCGACTCTAGGGTTTCGTCCTCTTCCGACCCAAAGACCTGTAAGCTGACACACATTCGTTTCTTTGTCTTACGTATCTGATGAAACTTGATCGAATTATCATTATTGAGTTTGAAGGAGTTTGTGGCTGTTCATTTCAATTCCAATTTTTTGCTGATTTATTGGATGAGCTTTAATTTGGCTGTAAAATTTACTTTCTGTTTATTGGTTAATTTTGAACTCTTTAAGTTATTTTGGTTTGAAGTAAGTTTGCTATTCTTCTATTATTATCAATATTTTTATTATGATTATTTAAAAACAAAACTGCAATGCTGCATATTGAGGTTGCACCAAGTCAGCAGCCACGTCCATAAGTATGCACGTTTCACGCTTTTCCAGCGTTTTTGAACCGGTGATATGGATCTTATCAAGGTGAAGAAATGGTTGGGGGTGGTGCATTTGTGCTTGTCACCAATTGTGTTCAATTTGGAATTGGAACTATTTCTTGAAATTTAGGTGTGTAGATGGAATTACTGAATCTCAGCCTGTTTTGCATGAGTTTCTGGTGATTCAGTTTGAAAATTGATTAGTTTTAGCCATTCTGCGAAGGTCTGAGTTATGAACTATAAGGGAGATCATTTTGAACATTAGATTTTAAGTGTAGTCCAGAAGAACGATTTATCGATAATTGTTAATTGTGAATTCATAATTAGATCTCCTATGTTGAAATGGTATTCATACGATTTAAATGTATATTTAATCATGTGTATAAATTATGATTTAGATTATAGTTAATTGTTAATTGTTAATTGTGAATTCATAATTAGATCTCCTATGTCGAAATGGTATTCATATGATTTAAATGTATATTTGATTACGTGTATAAATTATGATTTAGATTATAGTGATGGAAGTTGTTTTAACATCTCTTCATGATTTGTATGGTTGTTTTGAATGTAAAAAGGTGTGAATCTGAATTGATGCGATGTTATAAGACTGGCCCCATCACTGAGATCATTCTTGCACACGATGCAGATCTTAAATGATTCGTGAGTTGGAGACAGAGTCTATGGAAATTGACAATCCTGGAGGAAGTGAAGCAGACACTTCTCTTCTGGATGAGAAAGCTTTAGTTCTATATCCAGTATCAGCTAATCATTCGGGTGCGGGGCTTCCGTATGCCCCTGAAGATTGGCCTAATCCAGGAGATAAGTGGGGTTGGAAAACTGGGAAAAGAGTTTCGAGTTCGGGTCACTTTTTGGATAGATATCTGTATCTTCCTAAAAGGCTTTCTAGTGCTGGACCTGTTAAGCCTTTCGCAAGCAGGCTCGCAGTCGAACAATTTATTAAGAAAAAATTCCCCAATGCTGATGTTGGTGCCTTTTTTGCATCTTTTAGTTGGAGGATCCCGTCCACAGTTTTTGTAAGAGGTCAATGCCACTCCCAACTTTTTTTAATGTTGGCTGAATCAGTTTTTTTGCGCCGTATCACTTCTTGGGGCGAGTGTACTCCTTGTATTGATATGGTTGTACAACTGAGGTTGTTGTGCTGAAGGAAATGTTAATTATACTTGAGGGACATGTTTGATGTACAGAGTTGTTGATTTTCCAGTTTTATTTTTCTGATGTAGATAGTAAAGGGAGATTCAAATGTCCGAAGAAGAGTGTGGAAGATCTGGGATCTGGTACCCCAATTTCCGAAGAGCAATGTAAGGCTGGAAACAGGTCTTGCAGCAGCTTGTCCAAAGGAGCAGATTCTGTTTCTGAACTGATGTATTGTGATATTTGTTGTGACGAGCCTGGTTTCTGCAGAGAATGTTGTTGTATTTTATGCTGTCAAACAATTGATAAAGCTTGTACCCATAGTTACATTCGATGTGAAGCTAATGTCGAGGGTTTCATCTGTGGACATCATTGCCATATAGAGTGTGCTCTTCGAGCGTATATGGCTGGCACAGTTGGAGGAAGCACTAATTTGGATGCAGAGTTCTATTGCCGTCGTTGTGACTCAAGAACTGATCTGATTTCTCATGTTAGAAGACTTCTAGAAACCTATGAATCACTTGATTCACGAGATGCCATTGAGAAATTTCTTAAAGTTGGTATTTGTGTTCTGCGGGGATCAAAGAGAACATCTGCAATGCAGCTGCTGCATCATATTGAGTCGGCTATGTCAAAGGTACCCCGACGAAATGGTATCTACTGGTTTTTATTTTTTATTTTTCTCCCTAGATTTATAATACTGGAAACATTAACTGATCTGATATATATTACATCAGCTTAATGATGGAGCACTCCTTGAAGATATTTGGAAGAAAGGAAACATCTCTGCGGAGACTAGAGGTAAACATTCCTTCGAAATTCTTTTCCTTTAACCATTATCATTTAGTAGTTGATAGCTTGCCGTTTTATGCAACATAGTTGATAAGTTTAAAATGCAAATGCTTATTAAACATCTGAAGACAAAAGGTAAAAGTCTTGCACCATTTAATATAATGTAGGAATATTTAGAGCCTGTTTGCATTTAAAAAGGACTTATATGCCATTTGAGAGCTATATGAACCCTATAAACTTTTGGTGAAATTGAAAAAAGTAGCTTCCCCGAATCTTTAGTTAGAATTTTGGAAAATTTTGAAAATGTAAAAAGTTAATATTTGATATGATGTTTTGTGAGAAGAAAAAAATATTTGATCTTATATTTTTTTTAAAAAAAATTATATTAATGAATAGTGTCAAAAGTTCAAAAAATTGTTTGTATAAGAGAGTCTTGACTTCTTTTGGGTTTTGTTGAACTTGCATGCTTTCTTTTAAAGGATTATTACTCATGATATTTTTTTTTCTTTGATCCCATTTCATAGCCATATTTTTTTAAAAAAAACTTTGTTTTGGAAGTGTTTTGGAGACTTTTGAAAATAGTAAAAAGTTAAATTAAAAATAGATATTTGATGTGATATAAATATGAGTTAGATGTGATATTTTGTATTGGAAATAGATTTAGTTGTAATATTTTAAATGAAAAAAAAAATATTTAATATGATGTTTTTTAAAAGATAGGTGCTAAAAGTGATTTGAAAAATATGTAAACTTATGATTTGAAATATCTAAATAATTTTTAAAAAATTAGTAGCTATTTTGGCATAAAAAATTGGGTTTGTTTGCTTAACCTCCCATCTTTGGTTTGCACTTGCTCCAATTTTCTTTTTTTTTTTTTTTTTTTTTTTCAAATATTTCATAAGCTTGGACCACTTATAATCTTCTATGGCTCTTCAATAAAAAAAAAACTATATTTGTTGCATTCAAAGATCCTTAAGTTTAGAAAAAATGATTTGTTAATTATATAATTTGTATTACATAAAATTTTATTTTCTACGTAATGATATCTATATTTATCTATATTGAATATATTTTTATTGACATATAATTTTTAAAACAATTAAATGCATATTTTAAATTTATCTTTAATCATACATATTTTACATTATAAATAGATATTATCCAACCAAACTTGTAACCATGGAACCAATCATCACCCAAACATAGTCATTTTATAGTGTGTTCTCCTTGAACATTAATTTGTGTTTTGGATTTGAGTTTAATTTAAATAGTATTATGATGTGATATTTTGTCGTAGCGGATGTGCTTGTTTGAGTTATTAGTTTAAGGTGTTTTTTTTTTCTTTTATTATTTTTTTTATGTTAGGTGTAAAAAAAATTGTATGATTTTATTAGTTTTATGAAAATAGGAAAATTTGAATGTATGCAAATATATATATTTATCTATTTATGAAATAGAAATGTAAGATTACAAGTGAGTCGTACTTGAGAAAATATTGATAAATATATGAGTTGCATAGTGTACGACAATTTTTTTAAGACATTCAAGTATACTTTGTTTTCTTGTAAGCATATTCGATCACTTTTATCTTATTTACAATAATTTATACATAAAACATTACAGGGTTGTCGCCAAATGCCAATGGTTCTTCGAAGGTCCCAAGGAATGAGGAGCCGCAGGTCTGTGAAACAAGTTCGCCTCAGCCGTTCTCTTCAAACTTTGATTATCGAGTCGAATCTCTCAAACTTGAGGATAAAATCGATCGCATTCTGGAGGCATTAAGGAAATCACAAGAGATCGAATACAGGCTTGCAGAGGAAAAGCTTTCAGCTCGGAAGAACTACATCCTAAATCTCTACCAACAGCTTGAAACAGATAAGTGTGCACTCTCAAAGCATACGTCGTACAATGATTGTAAATCGTTGCTTGATGTTGTCCAGGACAGGATCGATTCGATAAAACAGGAAGTCTCTAGTCTGAGGGACATGGCGAAAGCTGCAAAGGGATTTGGTAGAGTTCCGAAACGGATTCTTAAGGAAAAATTCGATCTGGATGTAGAGGATTGATCGACTTTGCACAGGTATTTTCGATATCACAATTTTGTAGTGGTCGAGAAAAATATGATACTTCTTTCAAATTGCTGATATAAATTTGATGATAAAAATTGTACTTGAAATTTCTTTAAAACATGTGAATGCCAAGGCTCCATAAAACACTTTTGTGTTCTTTTTTGGATTTTACCACACAATTTTACTATTTATATTATTTTTTTCTTTCAAAAGTATTTAATCATATAATTAATTTCTTTTTTTATATCATACTAAAAATCTATTTTACATCCAAAACTTTAGTATTTATTTATATTACATCAAATGATTATAAAAAATCTTACAAATAGGGATGGATGGATAAATCTACCAAAAATACCCAAATATCGATTTACCACACCATATCATACCGAAAATACCAAATTTTTCGGTATGGTATTGGTACCGTAACGTAAATTTCGGTACGGTATCAGTATAAATTTTTAGAAAGTTCGATATTTCAGTATTTTAACAAAAATAAAATTAAAAAAAAAACACCTAAACCACTCCACAAATAAGCAATAAAAAATACTCTAATTCTTCCGTTTTACATTTTCCCTTTATTTCTTTTTTTTCTTCAACTTTTTTGCCTCTTTTGGTTCTTTACTTCTCCATTTTTCCTTCTTCTTTCTTCAACTTTTTTCTTTCCTTTGGTTCTTTTTTTTCTCTATCATTCTTTCTTATTTCTTCGATTTCTTTCACCTACTTCTATCTTTTTTCTTCTCTTCCTCTTTCTCCCCTCTTATTATTTCTACGTTGCGGTACTTGCTATAATATCTGTGGTCGTCACCGCCGTTATTTTGTCGTTTTTTGCTGAGTAGGGTAAGGTTTTCTTTGAATTTTTTAAAAAAGTTTCGATATAACCGGTATATATCTATTTGTTGTTACTTAAGGCTGGATCAAACATGTTATTTACAAGATAATCGAACAAAGCATTACAAAATTCTTAAGAATCTTTTATATATTCGAAAGCAAAGGAACTCAGACTTAGTTTATCCAAACTATAACAAGCGAAACCAACTATCACATACAACCGAACCCTAACCACACTAGCTAAGCCAAGGAAACACAACAAACACACGAATCGAACTCAAATCTATGGAAACATTAACGATTCAAGCTTAACTTCAGAGAGAAGAAAGAAATACATCACACAATCAAAGTAGGCAGAAAATCGAGAAACCAAATCGATGAACAACCTCAGAACAAGTCGAACATCAAAGGCAATAATCGGTTCCACAGCTTCGCCGGACAAGATCACCGGAAAACTCAACAGAAGATTGATCGAATGCAACGTCGGGATGCTAGGGCTTTTTAGAGAGAAAAATCGCGATGAATGAGACTGAGGATGTATTAAGATTTATATCAAAGACTTATACAAGGGTTGAGAATCAAACCCTCAATCCAACGGCAGAGATTACGCTTCGCAATAGACAAGGTTGGACCCGCGGGTTACAGGATCCAGTTGCATAATGGGCGGGTTCGGGTTGTGAACTACTGGGCCTCGTTGACCCAAAAACATCACATTATTTGATACAAAATACTATTAAAATATGAAATTTTCGGTATAAATAGAATATAACTGTGCAGTATAAAAAATTTAGGTATACTGAAATTGAGTATATCAAATGTTTCGATATGGTACCAGTATATATTTTTACTATATCGAATTTTTCAGTATGATATGCGGTATAGTTCAAATTTTTTTGGTTAAATACGCTATGTTATCTCTACTCACAAATAAACACAGGATATAGTATTATTTGTATTTCACAAAATATTTTCTACTATTTATATACCCGAGTTCGATCCCAAAGACGTGTATGGTAAAAGAAAAAACAAAAAAACAAATACACCCTAAAAGATCAGGGTCATTATAGTCATTTCAATCCTGAGTCATCTTCCCGCTCCGTTCCAAATTTAAAACGAACTCCTGCAAGTTGACCGTTAGATTTAATATTTTTAAAAATTCCGCAGAAGTGGAAAACCACGCGGATGCAGAGAAGAGAAGCAAAAGCATCCATCTATTACCATCGGAAAAATTATTCAGAGGAAATCCATTAAAGCACAGATCCAAATGATATCCAGCCTCACAGCAAGCACCAATCCATCAGAATCCTCGCGAGACAGCTCCTCTTAGTTTCCAGGTTGCAGAAAGGACGCCGATTGCAAATGCGAGACTCTCGATTTGATGCAGCAGAGTAGTCGTCGGAGTTCTCTCACAAAATTCTCGCCGATAATTTCGAGGAGGCGACGCCTTCTTTGCCTCTCGGTTTAATTGAAAATTTAGGTTTTAAGGAGAAGGTGAAGAGGAGAAAGGGGGATTTGGGAATTAGGGTTCATGTGGTGAGATTTATTAGTGGCTTGATTTTGGCTCTATCTCTGGTGTATGTGATTTCTTGGATGGTTTCCAGTGTTCTTGCAATGAAAATTCCGGCAAATGTTGTCGAAAAGTTGAGGGAGAAATTGAAGGATTTTTTGAGCTTGAATGAAAGATTTCTTTTCTTGGAGAATGAGTTGGAAAGGCTTGTTGATGTTGTTTACAGCTGCACTTCTTCTGATTCTATACGGAAAGCTTTCAATTCTTCGATCTTATCTGAAGTTTCGATACTATTACGGCAAGACCGCACAAAATTAATTTGTGGTTTCACGAAATTGTGTTAAATCTTTATATTTTCAAAACTGTTTCAAATTTCGTCCGTTGTTTTATAAATTCTGCATATAACGTCTTCGGCCATCTTTATTTAAAGGTATTAAACCCGCCCAAATTGTGAATGAATTTCAAAATTTTATTACTAAAATGAATATATTTGTAATTTCAAATAATAACATACTTTTTTTACTTGATAAAACCGTGTATTACTTGAATTTTATGGGAAAATTATCGCAATATTTGATTTATGGCCTACTTTATGGTTTTGTTTTGCTTGACATGATCCAGAGTCCATTTGTTAATATTATTGATGTTTTCAACCTTTATGAGCGATATTTCTGGCCCCAAAAAGCTAAGTATTGAAGGCAAGCGAATGCGTTTCTGAGAAGGCAAGAGATGCTTTTACCGCTTGCGCTAGCGCCAGTGACCGGACATCCACCGCTAATCAAGCAAGACTGGATTAGTCCAAAATTGGCTAAATGTTCATCTCTAAGCGGTCATGCCATTCTATTGACATCAAGCGATGACAACACCTCTTGAGCTGCACCGATTCCCTCCAGCCACGTCAGGCAAATAAGGAAGGTCAACCGCTTAACTGCTCAGTGGTTTTTACTACTTCTGTCTGCTGAATGAATTTCAAAATTTTTATGTTTAGAATAAATATATTTGTAATTTCAATATTTTTGAACTCATTCGCATTTTAGGCACGAAAGTCAAATACCATTAAATAGGGACAATCGAAGCAAAATTTATAAAATCTTGAGAAAATTTGACACAATTTTAAAAGTACATAAAATTTGACGCAATTTAGTAAAATACAAATACATTTTGTACAGTTTTGTCTACAATTACAAAATGACTTGATATATTCAAAATGCATTATATACAAATCCATGGCCGAAGAAGTACAAAGTTTGTACTAAACCGAACCGAACTGAATCGAATCATGTCTTTGTATACAAGAGCGCACGGGTACTAGCCGCGGCGCTTACCAATAATCCTTACACGAACAAGAACCGTGCCTAAAATGATGAAATCGCGTCCTATCTCTTACAACAATTTCCCTATCCATCGCCCTCGACGCTAATTTCATAAAACTGTGGCAATCCTCGCAGATCCTAAGGTTTTTTATAATATGAATACAAGAGCGTCGCTCGCAGCTTATCAGACCGTAACACAGCGCGAGCTTCTCGCTGTGCCAAAGAACTATCTCTTTCTTCTCCACTTCTTCTATATCCAACAATACGCAATTCGTATTTGGCGCGTAACCAATCTTTTCCACCTCGTCCCGTACCTCTTCTAGCTTCGCGTAAATCTCACCCGTTCTTCGATGGCTTTTATCCGCCGTCAAAAACTCGTGGATCCCGTCGTCGTCTTCAATCCTACTACATCCGCGCTCCTTCGTTATGCCTTTCTTCTTCATATAGTGTCTCACTTCCCCGACGTTTTTCCATCTTTTCTCTTTCGCGTAAACGTTCGACAAAAACACATGTGCGCCGTCGTGATCCGGGTCGAGCTCAAGAAGGCTTTTCGCGGCAAATTCGCCCAATTCGAATGCGCCGTGAATCCGACAAGCGGCCATTAAAGAACCCCAGATGATAACATTCGGCGCCATTGGCATTTGCTCGACGATCTCGAGTGCATCAGCAAGAAGATTAGCTCGACCGTAGAGGTCGACCATGCAACCATAATGTTCTAGCTTAGGCGTAATCGCGTACTCGTTAACCATAGCTTCGAACATTTTCCGTCCCTCTTGAACCAATCCGGCATGGCTACAAGCGTAAAGAACGCCGACGAATGTAACCCAATTCGGCTCGACGTTTTCATTTTTCATTTGATGAAAATGGGTTAGGGCGTCATCGACATCTCCGTGGGTTGCGAGCGCGCTGATCATGCTCGTCCAAGATATCACATTTCTCCTACGCATCCGAGCAAAAACCCTTTTCGCGTCCTCTAGACTCCCGCATTTGGCGTACATATCGATCAGAGCATTGTTTATCGGCAAAGCCTTTCCAAATCCTTTATCGTCGACAATCGAATGGATTTTTTTCCCTTGATTCAACGCGCCGAGAGAAGCGCACGCCGAAATAACACTCAGCATCGTCACTTGGTCCGGCTTAACTCCGCGCCGTTGCATATCATCGAATATTTTTAGAGCTTCTTGGGGCCTATTACTCTCCGCGTAACCGGAAATCATCGCACTCCAACAAACCAAGTCCTTATCATCAATTTGATTGAAAACTATCCGAGCAGCTTCAACATTACCGTTCTTCGAGTGTCCGGAGATCATGGCAGTTGACGCCACGACATTCTTTTTTGAAAAGCTATCGTACATGCGTTGCGCAATGTCCATCGCCCCGGAAGTTATATACATGTTTAGAAGCGCACTCTGCAAATGGGAATCGATCACAATTCCATTTTCGGATATGAGGCTGTGCATGAGCTTCCCGAGTTCCAAATTCCCGGCGCGGCCACAAGCAGAAAGAATAGTCGTGTAAAGCCTTGCATCTGGATTTATATCGGAGCGCTTCATCTCTGTGATCAGAGCTTGAACATCATCAAACCTCTGACTTTGGCAATATCTATGGCAACATTTCACAGAACTATAATCAGAAAACACAAAATTTAATCTATAGCACGCATACGGCGTGCGCGCGAACACACAAGGAGTGTCGAAAGATGATCAAACATATTAACTTTTGAACACCAAATTATTCCTCTTATTCCCTCCTTTTAAGAAACCGAAAAATTGCCCATAATTCCTTTGATTCATACTTATGTATATTTATATTTTCAACTTTGTTTTCATATTATTCATCGAAATTTTTCTCTATAAATATCACATCTAATATACATTTTTCATTTAAAATAGGCAAAATTACCCATAACTCTCAAGGGGTTTTGAAACCTAGTGTAAATCTTTCATATACTTTAAAAATTGCATGGCCCCTTATATTTTAAAAACGTTGCATGAAATCTCTTTGTACATTTTTTTTGCGATGAGAAGATGATTTCATATCTACGAGTTTCATGCAATATTTTTGGAAGTATAACGGAACGTCATACCATTTTTAAAGTATAGGAGAATTTATATTAAAGTTTTGACACCACGGGGGAGTTATAGATAATTTTGTCTTTAAAATATTACATAAAATTAAACATACTTTAAACTTTTTCATCTTATACAATACTTTAAACTTTTTCATCTTATACAATACTCACCGATATAATGGTTACTATATTTTCTTAATCTATATTTAAGTAGAACGAAGGTAGTATTATTTATTCACTATTATAAAAATTTCCCCCTTAAAAAACATAGCATTTGGAAACTATTTTTCATTTTCATTTCAAATATTAAAAAAAAAAAAAAAAAAAAAAAAGAACTGTTCTTCATTCAAAATTTCACATCCAACATAATGTACAAAATAAAGAAACTAAAACCAAACTCTACAAATAAAAGCATACTTTGCAAAACCATCTAATAAGATCAATTTTTCAAATATCAATCAACAATCAAAAGCTACATTTATCACAAGAATGTCGATTAAGTCGATGTTCGTCGATTTCTCAGCACATTTTCACAATCAACTAATTGAAAAACCAAAAAAAAAAAAAAATGTTAACCATGGTAAAATTCAATGAGCATAATTTGTTCACCACAAAAAATCAAAGAGTTATATAGCCAAATTCGTTATGGAGTAAGATTTTTTTCGAGCTTATTTATAGAAGAAGTACTCACCCATCGATCATGATGTGCCAAGTGACGACATCTCTATGGGACATTTTATCGAACACTTGGCGTGCCTCAGAAACCATTCCACAGGCAGCATACATTCCCACCAATGCAGTTTCCACAAAAGGATCCGACGCGTATCCAAGCTTCGCGCACAAGCTGTGTATCATTTTCCCTTCATTAATCGCCATGGACTTCGACGCCGCCTTCAGCAATGGAGGAAAGGTGAACCTGTCGATGGGGAAGGCTTTGGCCTGCATTTTCTGGTGGAACAATAGCGTGTAGTAGGGGTCGTTCGAGCGCGAGAGATGCTTGAGGATTTTGTTCGAGAGCTTCGGCGGCGGCGGAGCGGTGGCGGCGGGGATGGCGGAGAGGAGGGAGAGGGCGTAGGATGGGAAGGAGAGGGAGGGAAGGAGGAGGTGGATGAGGTGTTGATGATGGTGGGGGTGTCTGAGGAGTTGAGCGTGGATTTGTTTGAGGTGAGGTAGGGATGTGGCGGTGGAGATGAGGTGGGTGAAGTTGGGCTGGTGGCGGAGGGGCGGCGCCGCCGCGGTGGGGGGGATGGGAGTGGTGAGGAGTGGCTGCGCCATGGGGAGGGTGAAAAGCGCTTAGGACGGTATACATATATTTCTACACTATTTATTAATAATATTTTTTTATTAAAAAATCACATTATGTATACATATGTTTGTTTTTTTGAAAAAATACTTTCTTCCATCTAGTAACTATTTATATATTTTTCTATTTTGATTCTTTTTTAAAATAAAATATCAATTTATTTGTTTAGTAATTTTAATATTTATCTGATATTAAAATTACTTTTAAACTTACATTGTATAATAAATTTTTATTTTGAAAACATTTTAGTTTTTTAATTTTTATTTATGCATTATATAATATTAATATTTTTAAAATTTTGTGCAAAAAATAAATAAATCGATGACCGTCCAATTACAAAATATATACATTTATTTTTGAAGCGGAGTTTAATAAATAATAATACTTTAATTTTAGCGAGTAGTTAAATATAGTGTAATGATATTTTTAACTTACTTATGAGTATTTATGAAAAAAAGTTAAATATTATATTACATAGTTACTTTTTAATTAGATTGTTCAAAATAAAAATATATATACTTTTTAGTTAGACTGAAGGAATACCAAATATTAAGTTTTATACTAAATTATTTTTCATAACTTTCTTAACTAATATATATATGTATTCACCAAATATATATATATATATTTATAGAAGTCTCGGTGAATATTACTATATCTGTCATCCAAATTTATTCTAATTCTTTTTAGTTGTCATCCTAATTTATTCTCGTTTTTTTTAATAAAATAATACCATTTTTTCTACTTATTTTTTGCCATAAAAAGAAAAAAAAGTTATTTTTACTTATTTTTCTTAAAATTGTGTCCGATCAAATGTGTATAAGTTTACATGAGAGAGAAAGTACTAAAAAAATATAATATATATACTAATGCAATGTATATAATATACTTCTCCGTTCAAATTGAAGGTGTATATTTATTTATTTATTTATGTAGTAAATTAAAAAATATGAGTACCTTATTGGTCAGTGAAAATATGTAAAATAATTTTAACAATTTTACCTTAATAAGCACAAAAGAAATAATATTTTTGTAAAAATTACTTTTAATATTATAAAATATATATATATACTTTTAAATGAGAAGAACAAAAATAATAAAAATAAGTATATTGAATTAAGACGAATGAAATATAAGTTTTAGTACTAAAATTTAAAATTAGAAAAAAAAAAAAAAAAAAAAAAACATGAGGACAAAAAATTAAAGAAAGAAAGGAAAGATATCCTTTCAGTCTTTAAGTTCGACCCAAAATTTACCCAGAGTATATTCATCGAACAACGGTTGTGAATTTTCTCCATAAACATTAAGAAGCAGCATTGATTCTTCCTCTTCAATCTAGGTTTAAATTTGCTTCATTGTTTTTCTCCTTGGGCAATATTACAATATACATTTCCAATATAATATCCATATTTCTCACAACTGAAACATTTTATATGTTGTTTGTCTCGACCCCGATGATGGTCATTTCCATAGCCTTGAGATATTGTGAAATTCTGACGACCACCTCGGGCTTGTCCGATACCTCTGCCATGACCACTTCCATTCCGACTACCTCTATCGTGATGGTAAAAACCACGTCCTCTTCCCGTCGATGACAATCTTCCTCCTGAAGTTTTCCTATTCGACTAGTTGTGCGTCTTAACAAGCATTAAGCCCCCTTTATTACTCGTATTTTCATTGCGAAGTTTCAATCGGTCTTCATAAGCTTTGAAATGACCAAAAACTTATTCGAATGACATTTTGTTCATATCTTAATATTGTTCAATTGAAACAACCAATTGAAGATACTTGTCTGGAACCGAATCAAATTTTTTTGAACAAGTGCATTGTCATCAAGCATAGCATCGAGGTTTCTGAATTTCGATGTCATACCACTCAATTTCCCAGCAAAGTCATCTACTGTTTTCCCATCAGTCACTCGTAACCTTTCAAGTTCACCCTTCAACGTATGCAGTCTCACTTTTTGCACTCAATTGACTCTCAAATACTTCATTTTTTAATGCATCCCAAATTTTCTTTGTTATTTTTTTTCTTCGATACTTGCAGAAGAATATTCTCTAGCACTGCCTGAAAGATAGAAGCCCGAACAACCTTGTCCTTCTTATCATCCACATCCACTTTGGCCCGTGGTTCGATGGACTCCTAAATTCCTTGAACATCCACGATGATTTCCATCTTTATTACTCATGTAGTATAATTCGTCGGGATTAACATAGGAGATTGGACAGGAACAATGTTGCTTTCTTTTCCTTGTTGCGATATTATTGACATGTCTTTCGATCTTATGTATTTGGATATCAACGTAGCTCTACTCCACTACAATATCATGAAGTGCCTATTCTAATGCAATTTCAAATACTACATATATATATTTTTCGAAACATAAGAATTATTTTTAATAATATATTACATCAACTCACAAAAAATCAATAATTTATAAAAAAAAAATATTTTTTATATTATTTGAGATATATCACATCTCAAGTAAAGAATCTATATATACATCTACAAAAATAAAATGACACTGTATAAACAAACTTTATTAATTTTAAAATATGAACCTAATTAACAATATTGGCATAAATATAAAAAGAAATCATATGTCATCTAAATTTATTTTTACTTTACTTTTTTTGTTGTCATTTAAATTTATTTTCACTTTAGTTTTTAGTAAAAAAAATACCATTCTTTTTACCCTAAAAAGTAAAAAAAAAAGAATTATCTTCTTTTTTAAAAAAAAAAAACTCGTGCTTAAGCACACAATTGAATGACTAAGAAAGTATCATTTATAATAATATATATATGTAAGTAATACCTCGTTCGTCCCGACTCAGATGACACCAAATGATATAGTATTGTTGATATTTTAAATATATTTAGCATTATATCTCAATATAATATAGAGTATACAATATGAATATTATAATACAAATAAATTATTTATTTATTTATTTATAATTAATTTAAAATTAATTTTATGAAAAATGTGAAATTTTAAATATAAATAAAAATATATACTATTGAAAAAAAAGATAAAAATTAAGAAGTTTTGAATTAGTATTGGGTGTAAGAAAAAAGAATTTTATGGATAAAAAGAATATTATTTTTTACTAAATAAATAAATAATGCTCCTAAATAATAAAATTCAAAAACTTTCTTAAAATTAACTCTCAAACCCCCTCCCTCAAAAAAAGAAAAAATAAAATCATCAAATCAAAAAAGGAAATAATAAAATAAAATAAAATGAAAATTACGTCCAAACCCAAACCGGATTAGTGAATCCTAGCTCTGGCATTGGTCCATTCCTGCCGGATTAAATATTTTAAAGGGTTAAATTACTGTTTATTATCGTGTCGAGATCGAGTTGATTCGTGTTGACCCGTATACATAATATACATAATTAAATCGAATTTCTTAATTCAAATTAAATAATTTTTTGTTGTGTTGTCGTGTTAAATTAATTGTTATTAAATTATGATGAATTATTTAAAATTAAACTTAGTTTAAATTACTTTATGAGAAAATTATTAAATTATTAATATATTATAATCGGGTTGTCGTGTCGGGTTCGACTTGAGAGCCTCAACCATAACCCGACCCGTTTACTATCGTGTCGGGTTAGTGTCAATCCGTATACATAATCGGATTGAAATTTTTGATCCAAATCTAATTATTTTGTGAGTGTATCGGGTCAAGTTTTGCCAGTTTATGAACAATTAAAAAAAATAAAAAAAAATTAATTACATATTTTTTATAGAACTTCGTTGTCACCACTCCGCGCTAGAACCCTCCTCTACACCATCTGCTACCACCGGCTTCTCTCTCTCTCTCTCTCCTGAAAAGCATTCGATGCGTACGAATCCAGGAGCAATTCGGCCCTTCCAATCGAAGGATTCATAGCTGGCGATCAAAAAAATCTCCGAAACCCTACGAATTCTGATCCCTTGAGTTGAACTGGTATGCTTTCTTTCGAAACCCAGCTACGAATAATAGTACAAATCCATTGATTTTTTCTCTAACTGCTCAAGTGTATTCATCATGATCTCGATTTTTTAATTTCGTATCCAGAAGATATATATATATATAAATCCTGTAGCACAAGTATGATCAAGTTTGTTTGGCTGCAGCAGAGGATTAAGAACTTCCGTGCTTTGCCACTGAATGACCTGTTCTGATTTCAATTTCTTTGGATACAGACAGCTTATGAATCTATTATATTTAAAGGATTTCTGTCTAATTATGTTCAGTGGAGGAGGTTTTTTTTGAAGGATCATGAGGCTGGGTGAAATTATGTATCCTTTTACTTTAAGATTACTTGATAACTATAGGCCAAGGGATTGTCCAACTGATAATGGTTACTGGATGATGATTGGAGTGACTGTGGCTTGGGTAACAAGATTACTGTTCTTGTACCTGTTGCAGAGCCACCTAAAAGTGGAAATTAGACCTTCAGTTGTTAGTATTTCTAACCATAATCTTACAGTGCCTCTTTTCGCGACGTGCGACTAAGCAACAGGCCCACACTTTCAAGTCATACAATACTCGGGGATCTTTTGATCGAAATTAATTGAGCTAAGCTTAGTTGAATCCAATTCTCAGCAGTTTAACCTGAACGGTCTTAAGGCTTAAGTTGCTTGTGCTTTCAGCATGGTAGCTACTTGCAGTAGGACTAAGTTTGAGGAGATGGACAACTGCGTCGTTGACAATACATGTTGCTACCCCTACAATATGTGCTCCACAAAAAGGAAGAATTAAATCATTCTGGAAAACACACACACTCTCACAAACTATTCTTTGCTGTTTTCTTGTCATTTATGTCTGTCTTTGCTGTTAAGTATTTGGGAGTATAATCATTGGTTTTTTTTTTTAAGTGCCACTATAATACTCATTAGTATCTGGTTATTGGCAGAATACTGAGAAAAAAAAAAAGAAAAATGAATTAGGATCAATCAATATCAGAGTTACCCTAAAATAGTATTTCATCATAATTACAAATGAGATCAAAAAGGCCATGTAACCGAGAAAGAGCCCTTCTGAGCAAAGCTTAATGTTCATATATTAGTTAATTGCTCACTGTGTTGCTGCTTTAAAGTGAGACATTTCAAATCTCTCTTCAGTCGAGTTCCTTCTAAAACTATTCATTAAGTAGGCAAGTCTACCCTGATTGTTTGGAAGCATGGATTGGAAATGTATTCAAGCATAATGGTAAATTGGTCCCTTATAATTATTATACAGTTTTATGTCCATTACCCATTTTATGAAGCGCCGCCAAACATGATAAGCATATGCATTAATATCTACTTACTATTGGGGTGCTAGTTCCAGTTGCAATACCCATCAATCTTTGGATCGTCATTTTTCCTCAAATAGCTTCAAATGTTTCTAAAATTTAGTCTATTAGCTCCACTTAACTGAAAGAGTTAAAGATCGTCTCTTATAAATAACATGTGGGATTTTTGGAATTTGTCTGTCCTCTTTTATAGCTCTTTGAAGGCATATAGTGATATCATCTATAAAGTACGGTGTGTGGCTTCCTTTATTAGTTTGTATTTATATATTTTAAACTTTCAATTGGAAATGTTACCTGTTATCTTTCCTCTGGCCTTCTTTCTTAGACCAAGGCCGGGATGGCAGATGTGACTGGTTATATGCGAACTTGCTTGCAATCTGGAAAACTCGCCATGTTAGCAATTCTTGTGTCCGGGGGAATTGTTTTGCAAATACTGGTTCTATTCTAGACCTTGTTTTAGCTTTAGTTCTTTGCTTGTGGTTGATTCTTGTGTTCTCACTATGTTCTTTTATCCGGTGTCTGTGATGATATTTCAGGCATGCGCTCTGTACAATAATTGGTGGCCCATGTTAACAGGTGCTATATATTTGCTTAAATTTTTGTTAAGATTCAACCTTTTTACCTCTATATATATATATATATATACATTGAAATCACACCGTAACTTTTTTTCAGTTTTACCTGTCTATTTGTGAATATTTCACTAGCATTCATGTGTCACCTAGAGAATCTTGATAGTTAACTTTGTCCTTAGTATGATTAAAATATGAAACATCAACTGAATTGATATTGTTTAGCAAATCTGGAAAAGCATCCAAAGATTTTGCTGTTCATTCGCCTTTCCGGGTCGTAAAAAGTGGATTTTGGAAGTCAGGCAAGTTATGCTGTTCAAGTAGAAAGAATTGCACCAAATTGAAAATGTGTGTGTAGGTTTCTAGCATAATTCGAACTTGTACCTGCATTTCAGAAACTTTGGGACCTTAAAAATAATCGTGCGATTGATCATCATTAGAGGGCTAGCACTTTTCACCCTTTCTGTGTCGGGTTCTAAAATTTGTATTTTCTTTTCTTTTCTTTTTTTTTCTGCAGTATTAATGTATGTGGTTCTACCAATGCCTTTAATCTTCTTTGCCGGATTTGATAGCTCTTCTCTCTATTCCGAATCATCCAGTGGGTAATGTCTTCCTTTGCAGTATGTTTAACATTATCTATATCTGCTCCCCTTCATTTCAATTTTTCGACACAATTCTATTATTAAAAACATATATACACATACATATGGGTTCCTACCGTTTATGCAGTTGGATAGATGCAACAAAGTTTCTAACAGGTGCTTCAGTAGTTGGTAGTATTGCTATTCCGGTCATTCTCAAGCACGCGGGTGTAATTGGTTGGGGAGCATTGGCAATGGAGCTTTCATCTTTTTTTATCTTTGCTATGGCCATTTTATGTTACCTTGGTACAAATGGGGATGATGCCTATAGTATGTTCTAAAATTTGGAGGTTGACGAGGCTTGCGCCTGCCTTATTCGGCTATTGCGCAATCAGTCGGTGCCGGTGTGTGTTTTCTTCTTGTGTGGAGATCTTATCTGTGCCTTTTTTTTGTTCTGCTCTGAGGTGTGACAGAAATGTATATATACATTTGTGGCACATGACATCATCTTCTTGTGTTGAAATGGTGTGAAAAACACCACAGGGAATTTGGATTATTTCTAAACATTAATTAATTTGATTCATTTTGTAATTTGCATTTTTTTTTTTTTTTTTTTTTTTTTGTGTTATGTGAAATTGATGCATGTTTTAATATAATTATAACCTTTTTTCTTGTAAGGTGGATTTAAATTTACTCTCAAAAGTTTTCAATTTTATCTTTTGCATATGTTTCAAAATTTTTGTCTTTTGAATTTTCTAAGAATGATTACTCGCAGTTAGAACACTCATTGGTGGACAATTCTTGAAAGTAAACTATATGTAAGTGTAAGGTACGAAGGCCATGCCCATCTCCAACCCATTAATTCTATTTATTCAGTTTTAACTCTAAATATACCATTGCTATTCCAACCTATCAACTCTATTTATCCAGTTTTAACTCTAAATATATAATTGCTACAGTAATTTTACTCCAACCATAACTCCAAAAATTGGCCTAATTCATTGGCGATTATTTTTTAATCTACTAAAAAATATAAAAAAAATAATACTTTAAACGAATGAAGTAATATTTTGAATTTTTATGGTTAGTTATTTAAAATAAAAAATATTACTAAAGTATATGTTTTTAAAAAGAAATAATAGTATTTTTATTAAAACTTGAACCTTCTGATCAACAATATGCAGCCATTCTGGGCAAGTTTATCAGAACCTAAGGTGTGATTTTGTGTTTTTTTCTCGCATTTCCTCCAAAAATATATATATATATATATATTAAATGCACTCATCATTTTTATATCATATACATATTTTTATATATTTCACATAAAAGCAAAACAGTATATATATATTTCATCAAACTATATCACAGACCAAACACAACCCTACTATTTTCTCCTAAAAAAAATTTCTAAGTCAAATAATCGAAAACAAAAAAGAACTGCATGTATTTCTTTTCATTTTCTACACAATTTCTTAAGACCTTAATTGAAAAGAAACACATCCAAGACAAATACAAATATGTGATACAAAAATATGAAAATGAATAATAGTTTCACTCACTCACTCAGTTATGTTAAAACAGAGCTTTGCCTCATCCCAAGGACCATTGATCTCAAATTTATACTCTTGAACTCTAATCAGCCAGTACGGACACACCAAATTCACAAAAACAAGTGTACTCACCAGCACAACAAACAGCATTCCATGAAATCGATACACGAAAAACAGCGTCGCCGCAATCAATCCCATCGAAACAAACAGATGCAGCCGAAAAGAATACTTTTTTACACAGTGGCACACAAAAGGAGCAAACAAGAAAACTTGCAGGGAGAAGAGGACAATGGCGAAGACAAGAAGCCGAGAAGGAAGTCGAGAGGCGATCAAAAGGGAAGCAACAATGGAGGCGTTAAGCGATATGTTGCTCGCAAATGTCGAACATTCGAGAGAACCCGAATAGTTGTGTAGAAAGAGATGAACTATGACAAGAAAAGCCGTCAGCGCCCAAATGGAGTCGGAGCTGATCGATTGGGTGAGGGTGTGATAAATGGGAGACAGGGCGTATAAGCCCGTTATGAAGAACGAGGTTTTTAGGACATAATTGAGAAGTAAATCGAACGAAAGCATTTCTTCTGTTAAAAGAACGACTAAAAATCCTGCCCCGAGAAGGCCAATGTCGATTAGGACAAGAGATCTCTCGGAGAAAAGAGATCTCAGGGTATAAGTCCAGACCAAAACCACGAGAGCAACAATGCACAAATATTGTGAGATGCAAATTGAGTCGAGGATTACCTTGGCCAAGTCTCGTTTCACGACGTTGGTGTTCATGATCATGTCTTCCAGAAAAGACTCGTCAATGTGGTTGTCGTCGAAGCCTGGTTGCATTCCTCCGTAAGCAACTTTTCTCCACTTCGGAAAGGTTGGAGATATACTTCCAGGCATTTGGGGCTCCATTGTCGCTGCAACAACCTGTATAAATAACGTAAACATATTGAACCCGAACCTACACAGCAGTAGCAATGATTCTCGCAAAATTCATACAAGAAAAATGACACCAAACAATGTCAAATAGTACTACCTAAACTAAAATCAGACCACAAAAAACTACTAAATGGGAGAAATAAACTCTAATGGTGAGTTACTTTTATACCAGAGCTCCCTAAACTAAAAGTTTACTTATTATTTACTACCTCTCCGTCCGGCTCTAAGGGTTTCATTTACTTTTTGCGTGTTGATTTTTAAATATTAATTATTATATCAAAATATAGTACAAATTAAGAAAAAATTGCAAAAATACTTTCATTAATGTCTTATAATACTAATAGAAGGACATTTGTACAAAATATTATACAAATATAAAGATATTTTTAATGTTAAGTACAATTACGCAAAAGGTAAATGTGACCCTTAGAGGCGGACGGAGGAAGTATATACTAGCCAATAAGCATAAGGGCCGAGATCATGTCTATATAAGTACATATATATGTGCATAAGAAATGGAATTCCCACTATTGTCGATTTCAGGATGTCGTATGTGTGTTTCTTTTGAGGTTTTATCCAACTTGTTATTATTTGAACTCTAAATTTTCTGAAAAAATATATAGTTTCATAAATATCTCATCAAACATTATTTAAATAAAAAAACTCAAACGTCAAAACCCAATTAATACTGAAAAGAAACATATCCCTGTGACGCAAGGCGTGCAAAATGATGAAAATGCTTCACTTATACTCAACCCATCGGCATTTTCATCCATAATGAAATAATAGAGGCTAACGAACACATATAACTCCATCCACGACTATGCCTAAAAGCCACCAAACCCACACACAATACAAACACCACAACTCTCAAACAACAAGACTAAAAAATATATTAGTTATAGTAATCTAAATAAAGACATCACTACGTAGTCTACAAATTTCAATTTCCCTCTAAAAAACAGCATATCCGACGCCTATTTTCTATTCAAAACACTGCGTCAAACAACGATTTTCACCTTGACAGTTTTAGAACCCAAATGACTAGTAAGTAAACACACAGTATTAACCCAAACATACTAACACAAATTTAAGTGCACAAACATGAATAACAAAAACACTTTCATACTAGTAAAAATGCATTTCAATAATGGCTTCAATCTCATCTTCCAATCACTTAAAAAAGCAATTCTAAGCTACAAAGAGGAATACCTTTTAACCCTAACAACGCATTTCCATTAATCATTAAGATATATTATCTTTTCACAAATCCCCGAAATTGTTCTTACAAAAACTACACTTGCTTACAGATAATTAATTCTGATTATAAATTTAAAAAAAAAAAATCTGATAAACACGTACTCATGTAAAATGTGGAATGAAATAACACATTATCAACCAGCAACAATCATTTAACCCAGATAGAAAACCTAAACAAAATCAAAATTCATAAGCAACCGAAACTAACTCTTCAGCAAATTAAAAACAAATTAAGACGGGAACACCAGAATTAGTGATAAAAATTAAGCAATAGCTGATCAATCGACAAGCAGCACATACCGGCACAGGATTTAATATTGTTAATCTTGAGGTGCAAAACAAGAACGCTCGCAAAATGAATCATATACCGATCTAAGCTAGAAACTATTCCCTCGCCAGTCGCCAATCTCCCGGACGGCATAACATATCCGCGCGCTGCTCTGCAAACTCTGGGGATTATTTATTTGGGTATTTGAATCGTAAATATGGTAGGGTCATGGATTTGGGTTATTTGATTATAGGACCTAAAACCATTTCCAATCATTAACTTTATTTTTCCAAGACTACAGTACATTTTTCTATTTTTTCATTTTACAGGTCTGCTACGGTTGGAAAAGTCAAACATTGTGGCTCCTTCCTCAATCCCACGTCGCCTAAATTGTGTAATGGGGGGGAAGTTTCCTATAAATACACCCCCTTCCCTTTGTTACAATAATCCCGCAGCACAATCCTCGTATTCTAATTGTATTGTATTTCTTATCTTCTCTCATAATACAAGTTTGGTTGGGGTCCGAGGACGTGGGCAAAATTTTGCCGAACCTCGTTAAATTTGATGTTCTTTATTTTGCTCTGGTGTGTTGATTATTTTGCGGTTATTTATTATGCTTTAATTTTGCCGAGAAAATTCTGTCAAAAGGACTATAGAAGGTCCAAGGAAATTGGGTTTTAAGTGAGCCTCGTGTCTCCTCCAATTACCTGGGAATTTTTTTCGGTATTAATTGGGTACGATATTTCGCCGATCGTGTGGGGCTAACCTGTTTTTCGCAACAATTGGTATCAGAGCCTTGGTTGCTTAGTATGCTCTGTGGTCGCAGTTAATCTGATCTTCCACATCAGAAAAGTGTCTTGGTTAAGCTGCCCTTATTGTGTAATTTTTTTTGTTGGTAATCAAAATCTGGAGCAGGAATGGCGGAAAAGTCCGGTGAAAAATCAACTTCAGATTCAAAGTCATTGGTGACGTCGTCATCAAGAACGATGGTCACGAATGCCAAATTCGACGTAAAAAAATTTGACGGTACCAATAATTTTGGTATGTGGCAATGCGAGATGTTGGACATCTTGTTCCAACAAAAGCTGGACGGAGCACTCGCAAACAACAAACCGGAGGATGTTGATGATAAAAACTGGACGAGAATTAACTGTCTGGCGTGTGGTACAATCCAGCTATGTCTCTCAAAGGAGCAGAAGCATCCATTTATGAGAGAGACGATGACGCACAAATTATGGAACGAATTGGAGGACAAATTCATGAAAAAGAGCACATAAAATAAGCTCTACATGAAGACGAAGTTATATTCCTTTCAGTATTTGTCAGGTACCACCATGAACGAACACATAACTAGATTTGATTTTCTAGTTACTGATTTGTTGAATCTGGATGAGAAGATAAATGATATTGATAAGGCGCTGATACTGCTAGCATCACTTCCTGATGAATATGAATATATAATTGTTAGCATACTAACAATTTCCTTTAAAGAAGTTACTACTGCTTTGTATTCTAACGAGATCAGGAAAAATGATAAGTTAGAACATAGGAGTTCGACTGGTGAAGCCCACCATGCCTGGGATCGTAACCAAAAAATACAAGCCGACGAGAAGAGGCAGATCCCAGTCAAGAGGCAAAGTAGCAAAAGATGAATGTATCTTTTGCCATGAGAAAGGACACTGGAAGAAAGACTGTCCCAAGCTACAAAAGAAAAAGAGAAAAGCAGTAGCTGAAGCTGAAGCATGTGTTGCTGATAATAATGAATCAGATTATTCATTAGCATGTGCCTCATCGGTGGCCTGCAGTGACGACTGGCTGTTGGACTCAGGATGCTCATTCCACATGTGTTCCAGGAAGGAGTGGTTTGTCAATTTTGAAAACATTGACGGCGGAATTGTCTATCTAGCTGACAATCAACCTTGCCAGATAACTGGAGTTGGTTCGGTTTATCTGAAGAACCACGATTGAACAGTTAAAGTGATGAGAGAGTTCCGGTACATACTGAAATTTGCCAAAAACCTCATTTCAGTGGGAGTCTTGGAATCTAAAGGTCATTCTATCGGCATTCAGAATGAGATTCTTAAAGTGATCTCAAGAGCACTTGTCGTCATGAAAGGTAAAAGAAAAAATAACATGTATCTAGCTGACAATCAACCTTGCCAGATAACTGGAGTTGGTTCGGTTTATCTGAAGAACCACGATTGAATAGTTAAAGTGATGACAGAGGTTCGGTACATACTGAAATTTGCCAAAAACCTCATTTCAGTGGGAGTCTTGGAATCTAAAGGTCATTCTATCAGCATTCAGAACGAGATTCTTAAAGTGATGTCAAGAGCACTTGTCGTCATGAAAGGTAAAAGAAAAAATAACATGTATCACTTTTAGGGCAACACAATGGTTGGCGTAGCAGCAGTAGTATCAGCACTAGATAAAGAGGATGAGATGACCAAGCTCTGGCATATAAGACTGGCATATAAGACTTGGGCATGCAGGTGGAAAATCCTTGCAGACTCTAGCAAAGCAATGATTATTAAAGGGTACAAAGACTTGCAAATTTTTGCTAGCACTGTGTTATGGGAAAGCAAACGCGGATGAAGTTTGGAACAACAATCCATAACACTAAAGGCATTATGGATTACATTCACTCAGACGTATGGAGACCAATCAAGACAGCTTCTTTGGGAGGAAACCATTATTTTATAACGTTTGTTGATTATTTTTCCAGAAGAATATAGGTATATCCAATGCGAACTAAAGACGAAGCTTTCAGCAAATTCCTCGATTGGAAGAGAACGATGGAGAACCAGACCGGGAGGAAGATTAAAGTGCTTCGAACTGACAATGATACGGAATATCGAAATGACCCTTTTTCGATATTTGCAAGAAAGAATGCATCTCCCGACATTTCACAGTACGGGACACGCCACAACAAAGTAGGGTGGCTGAACGCATGAACCGAACCTTGCTGAAGAAAGTTCGGTGTATGATGTCTAATGCTAATTTGGGCAAACAATTCTGGGCTGAAGCAGTCACATATGCAAGTCATCTGATCAATCAACTACCATTAACTGCACTTAAAGGCAAAACACCTTTGGAGGTATGGTTTGGCAAACCTACAAATGATTATGATTCTTTACGTGTGTTTGGATCTATTACATATGATCACGTAAGAGAATCAAAGCTAAATCCAAGGGCGAGAAAAACTATCTTCATAGGGATATCATCTGAAGTAAAAGGATATCGCTTATGGTGCCCGGAGATGAAAAGATGATCTTTAGCAGGGATGTTACTTTCAACGAATCAAAGATGTTGAAGAAAGTAACCAAGCAGCAGACAGATAATACCCCCGCCGGTGGAGTGTTCTTCCAAGGAGGTGGAGTTCCAGACATCTATGACTAAACTTGTAGATGATCAACCAACTGACGATGATGGTTCTTGTACTGAAGAAGAGCCCGGAGAAAGAGAGGTTTTAACCCAAGAACCTCAACAGCAACAAGATTTACCAATTGCAGTTAGGAGGCCAAGAAGAGAAATTCAGAAACCTGCTTGATTCCAAAGTATGGTGGCCTATGCACTTCCTATTATTAAAAAAGGTATACCACAAACTTTTCTTGATGCAGTGCATTGTTCTGAAAAAAAAAAGTGGAAGAAAGCCATGGACGAGGAAATGCATTCCCTTGAAGCAAATCACACATGGAAGCTAGCTGAGCTACCGAAGGGAAAGAAGACAATTGGTTGCAAGTGGGTCTATACTCGGAAAGAAGGATTTCCCAATTGTAATGATGTTCGCTACAAGGCAAGATTGGTAGCCAAAGGCTATGCTCAAAAGGAAGGAATTGATTTCAATGAGGTATTTTCTCCTGATGTAAAACATTCCTCTATTCGTATTTTATTGGTCTTGGTAGCGCAGTATAGATTTAGAACTAGTTCAAATGGATGTAAAGACGGCGTTCTTACACAGTGATTTGAAGGAGGAAATCTATATGATTCAACCCGAAGGATTTAAAGTTGCTGCAAAAGAAGATTGGGTATGCAAGTTGAGCAAATCGTTGTATAGATTGAAACAATCTCCAAGGCAGTGGTACAGACGATTTGATCAATTCATGACCGGCCAGAAGTACACCAGAAGCAACTTTGATCATTGCGTGTATTTTCGTAAGCTACATGATAGATCTTTCATTTATCTTCTTCTTTATGTCGATGATATGTTAATTGCTTCGAAAGATAGAGGAGAGAGATAAGCAGGTTGAAGTCCAAACTCAGCAAAGAGTTCAAAATGAAAGATCTTGGTGAAAGCAAAGAAGATTTTTGGCATGGAAATAACGAGAGACAGAAAGAGAGGCACATTGTTTTTGAACCAGAAGCAATATTTGAAGAAAGTACTACATCGATTTGGCATGACTAACAAAACCAAACCTGTGAGTACACCACTTGCTTTTCATTTCAAACTTAGCATTTCACAATGTCCGAAAGAGGAACGTGATTACATGTCAAAGGTTCCTTATTCAAATGTGGTTGGTAGCTTGATGTATGCGATGGTGTGTATGAGGCCTGACATTTCACATGCATTTGGGATTGTGAGCAGGTATATGCATGATCCAGGCAAAGAACATTGGCAAGCCGTGAAATGGATTATAAGGTATATTCTGAAAACCTTAGATATTGGATTGATGTTTAAACGAAGTAACGATATTGGTCAATATATAGTTGGGTACTGCGATTCAGACTATGCAGGAGAACTGGATAAGCGACGATCAACTATTGGTTATGTATTCACTCTTGCAAATGTACCGGTTAGTTGGAAGTCAACCTTACAGTCTACCGTAGCTCTGTCAACAACAGAGGCAGAATACATGGCCATAACTGAGGCTGTTAAGGAGGCAATCTGGTTACAGGGATTACTGGATGACTTGGGAGTCTGTCAAAAATACATTACGGTGTTTTGTAACAGCCAAAGTGCTATTCATTTAGCAAAAAACCAAGTATATCATGCCAGAACAAAGCATATAGATGTGCGGTACCATTTTGTGTAATGGGGGGCGAAGTTTCCTATAAATACACCCCCTTCCCTTTGTTACAATAATCCCGCAGCACAATCCTCGTATTCTAATTGTGTTGTATTTCTTATCTTCTCTCATAATATAAGTTTGGTTGGGGTCCGAGGACATAGGCAAAATTTTGCCGAACCTCGTTAAATTTGGTGTTCTTTATTTTGCTCTGGTGTGTTGGTTATTTTGCGGTTATTTATTATGCTTTAATTTTGCCGGAGAAATTCTGTCAAAAGGACTATAAAAGGTCTAAGGAAATTGGGTTTTAAGTGAGCCTCGTGTCTTCTCCAATTACCTGGGAATTTTCTTCAGTATTAATTGAGTACGATATTTCGCCGAAATTTCCATTCTTCCTCTTCCCGCGGCCGCCCAAACAGCGGCAGCAAATGCTATTCGTACAGTAGTCGATCAAGGTATGCAACGAGCAGGCACCAGACTCTTTCCTAAATCTTTTTCAGATGGGACAGCTTAAAGAGAGCCCAAGAGCCATAGTAGCCCAATGGCTGTCCAACAACGAAACACAACTGCCAAGGGGGCCTCTTAGAGATCAATGGAAAAATCTCCAGATCAAGCTTGCTTTTAGGAGTGATCTTTCCCGCGGGGACGAGATCCAAATTTGTGATTGGCTCTGCGTGAATGTAATTCATAATGCCTTTAGTGTTATGGATTGTTGTTCCAAACTTCACCTGCGTTTGCTTTCCCATAACACAGTGTTCGCAAAAATCAAGTTTGCAAGTCTTTGTACCCTTTAATAATCCTTGCTTTGCTAGAGTCTGCAAGGATTTTTCACCTACATGCCAGCTTGATCATCTCATTCTCTGTTGCTGCTACGCCAACCACTGTGTTGCCCTAAAAGTGATACAAGTTATTTTTTCTTTTACCTTTCATGACGACAAGTGCTCTTGAGATCACTTTAAGAATCCCATTCTGAATGTTGATAGAATGGCCTTTAGATTCCAAGACTCCCATTGAAATGAGGTTTTTGGCAAATTTCGGTATGTATGGAACCTTTGTCAGCACTTTAACTGTTCCATCGTGGTTCTTCAGATAAACCGAACCAACTCCAGTTATCTGGAAAAGTTGATTGTCAGCTAGATAGACAATTCCGCCGTCAACGTTTTCAAAATTGACAAATCACTCCTTCTTGGAACACATGTGGAATGAGCATCCTGAGTCCAGCAGCCAGTCGTCACTGCAGGCCACCGATGAGGCACATGCAAATGAATAATCTAATTAATTATTATCAGCAACACATGTTTCAGCTACTGTTTTTTCCTTTTTCTTTTGTAGCTTGAGACAGTCTTTCTTTCAGTGTCCTTTCTCGTAGCAAAAGACACATTCATCTTTTGCTACTCTGCCTCTTGACTGGGATCTGCCTCTTCTCGTCGACTTGTATTTTTTGTTACGACCCCAGGCATAGTGGGCTTCACCAGTCGAACTCCTATGTTCTAACTTATCATTTTTCCTGATCTCGTTAGTAGTAACTTCTTTAAAGGAAATTGTTTCTTTCTCCGTCAGCATACTAACAATTATATGTTCATATTCATCGGGAAGTGATGCTAGCAGCGCCTTATCAATATCATTTATCTTCTCATCCAGATTCAGCAAATCAGTAACTAGATAATCAAATCTAGTTATGTGTTCGTTCATGATGGTACCTGACAAATACTGGAAGCGATATAACTTCGTCATCATGTAGAGCTTATTTTCTGTGCTCTTTTTCATGAATTTGTCCTCCAATTCGTTCCATAATTTGTGCACCATCGTCTCTCTCATAAATGGATACTTCTGCTCCTTTGAGAGACATAGCCGGATTGTACCACACGTCAGACGGTTGATTCTCGTCCAGTCTTTATCATCAACATCCTCCGGTTTGTTGTCTGCGAGTGCTTCGTCCAGCTCTTGTTGGAACAAGATGTCCAACAACTCGCATTGCCACATACCAAAATTATTGGTACTGTCGAATTTTTTTAAGTCGAATTTGGCATTCGTGACCATCGTTCTTGATGACGACGTCACCGACTTTGAATCTGAAGTTGATTTTTCACCGGACTTTTCCGCCATTCCTGCTCCAGAGTTTGATTACCAATAAAAAAATTACACAATAAGGGCAGCTTAACCAAGACGCTTTTCTAATGTGGAAGATCAGATTAACTGCAACCACAGAGCATACTAAGCAACCAAGGCTCTGATACCAATTGTTGCGAAAAACGGGTTAGTCCCACACGATCGGCGAAATATCGTACCCAATTAATAACGAAGAAAATTCCCAGGTAATTGGAGGAGACACGAGGCTCACTTAAAACCCAATTTCCTTAGACTTTTTATAGTCATTTTGACAGAATTTTCCCGGCAAAATTAAAGCATAATAAATAATCGCAAAATAACCAACACACCAGAGCAAAATAAAGAACACCAAATTTAACGAGGTTCGGCAAAATTTTGCCTACGTCCTCGGACTCCAGCCAAATTTATATTATGAGAGAAGATAAGAAATACAACACAATTAGAACAAAGGGAAGGGGATGTGGGATTGAGGAAGGAGCCACAATGTTTGACCTTTCCAACAGTAGCTGACCTGAAAAATGAAAAAATAGAAAAATATACTGTAATATTAGAAAAATAGAATTATTGGTTGGAGATGGTTTTAGGTCCGATAATCAAATAACCCAAATCCATGACCCTACCATATTTACAATTCAAATACCCAAATAAATAATCCCCAGAGTTCGCAGGGCAGCGCGCAGATATGTTATGCGGTCCGGGAGATTGGCGACTGGCGAGGGGATAGTTTCTAGCTTAGATTGGTATATGATTCATTTTGCGAGCGTTCTTGTTTTGCACCTCAAGATTCACAATATTAAATCTTGTGCCGGTATGTGCTGCTTGTTGATTGATCAGCTATTGCTTAATTTTTATCACTAATTCCGGTGTTCCCGTCTTAATTTGTTTTTAATTTGCTGAAGAGTTAGTTTCGGTTGCTTATGTTCATCGGAATTTTGATTTTGTTTAGGTTTTCTATCTGGGTTAAATGATTGTTGCTGGTTGATAATGCGTTATTTCATTCCACATTTTACATGAGTGAGTGTTTATCAGATTTTTTCTAAAAAATTTATAATCAGGATTAATCATCTGTAAGTAAGTGGAGTTATTGTAGGAACAATTTCGGAGATTTATGAAAAGATAATATTTCTTAATGATTAATGGAAATGCGTTGTTAGGGTTAAAAAGTATTCCTCTTTGTAACTTAGAATTGCTTTTTTTTTAAGTGATTGGAAGATGAAGTAAGAGATTGAAGCCATTATTGAAATGTATGAAAGTGTTTTTGTTATTCATGTTTGTGTACTTAAATTTGTGTGAGTATGTTTGGGCTAATACTGTGTGTTTACTTACTAGTCATTTGGGTTCTTCTCTAATAATCTGCTGGCTCTAATTGTACGATTTATGACCTCAGAAGCTTGTTATGAAAAAGAACCACTGATCAATGAAAATATTGGTGCATTGTGAGCGACAATATGAACTACTCACCTGCCTATATTTTGCTACGCAGCGGTCAATGCAACTGTTTTCACCCATGTTTAACTCTGAGTCCTTATACCTAATAACATGAGAGATTCAAAATCATGAAAAGCATATTTTAGATAATCCTCATAGGATAATATACGCGCGTGTGTGTGTATGAGAGATCCATGCTGTTGGGTTTCTTATGATCCAGTCAACCAGTTGGATCTGCAGTACGTACTTGTTCTCAATGCATTTGTTGAAACATGTGTGAGTAAGCCTGTAGCAGAACAGAGGTACAATCAAATTAACACATGAAACTCCTGAAGCATTTTAATTCTCAATGTACAACTAGGTAGTAGCAGTAACTCATACAGTCGGAGACAACAATTCCGGGTTCTCGAACAGGCAATAATAAATAGAAAAGGCAGATTGATGATTTTAGGATTCATTTAATACTACACCCACGAATAAAACCAACACGCACTGAAATTAACCACGGAAAACTAAACAGAAGAAGAATCGAGCACGGGGCTAGGTAAATTCCCGAGGGCAAGCCATTCCCTTTTCAATGATTGAAAAAACCTTAACGTCATCTGAATCGCATTGCATAAACAGTATCACATCAACACAACCTAGTATCCAAACACAAAGAACGACTACCCACTTGTTAAACATTTCAACCCTATACTCCATCTCCCCCTCCATCATCCCAATAAGCTACAGAGTGCCAAAAACAAAACATTACGAGTTACAATCCCCCATATAAGATAAGTACATTCATCCCAAATCCTGAATCAGCGTGTCTCGCCAGAAAGCATAGAAGAAAACCTGATCTCTCTCAGCGGCAGACGGGCCGTTGCTCGGAGCCATTAGATCCGAAGCCGAGAGAACCAATGTAACTAAACAAACGCAGTAATTGAGGTCTACAATTATGCAATTACGATCTATAAGCAGGCGTACCGTATAAAGGGTTTATGCGCTGCTGCTGCAAAACCCTAAATGGAAGCGAAATAAAGTCAACAAACAAATACAGCCCTACCCTACTAGGAGATATTTATATGGTGAAACTGATAGATCCTAACCGTCCACGCTATACGAAATCGACGCTCAATATAATTCGGATTATTTATTTAAGAAAACAAAATGGGACTGGTTTTATAAGGTTTGTATTTGATTTGGGAACCACAAAGTAGTCCAATGGTCAAGATCTCAATGTTTTGGTCGAGGCTTCGATTTGCTTCTACTAGTCTAGTATTATATTTTATAGAAAAAAATAAATATACGATATGTTATTTTCTATTAACTATATTATATCGTATTGTTTGAATTGAATATTGAAGTGTGTAAGGATCTTACCAACAGTCAAGCTGAGGCCGATATCATCAAACAACATAAGAGCACACAAATAAATAATACTGCAAGCAGTATATGTATATTATAAATTGATCGAGCTTCATTCAAGAGAAGGAAAACTGGACACAATTCATGCATGCACATCATTGGATGCAAACTTGATTTTTGCGAGCACTGTGTTTTGGGAAAGCAAACGCGGGTGGAGTTTGGAATAACAATCCATAACACTGAAGGCATTATGAATTACATTCACGCAGAGCCAATCACAGATTTGGATCTCGTCCGCGCGGGAAAGATCACTCCTAAAAGCAAGCTTGATCTGAAGATTTTTCCATTGATCTCTAAGAGGCCCCCTTGGCAGTTGTGTTTCGTTGTTGGACAGCCATTGGGCTACTACGGCTCTTGGGCTCTCTTCGCGCTGTCCCATCTGAAAAAGATTTAGGAAAGAGTCTGGTGTCTGCTCGTTGCATACCTTGACCGACTACTGTACGAATAGCATTTGCTGCCGCTGTTTGGGCGGCCGCGGGAAGAGAAAGAATGGAAATTTCGGAGAAATATCGTATTCAATTAATACCGAAGAAAATTCTCAGGTAATTGGAGAAGACACAAGGCTCACTTAAAACCCAATTTCCTTAGACCTTTTATAGTCCTTTTGACAGAATTTCCCTGGAAGAATGGAAATTTCGGAGAAATATCGTACTCAATTAATACCGAAGAAAATTCCCAGGTAACTCGAGAAGACACGAGGCTCACTTAAAACCCAATTTCCTTAGACCTTTTATAGTCCTTTTGACAGAATTTCCCTGGAAGAATGGAAATTTCCAAGGGCGAGAAAAGCTATCTTCATAAGGATATCATCTGGAGTAAAAGGATATCGTTTATAGTGCCCGGAGATGAAAAAGATGATCTTTAGCAGGGATGTTACTTTCAACTCAGAGATGTTGAAGAAAGTAACCAAGCAGCAGACAGATAATACCCCCCACAGGTGGAGTGTTCTTCCAAGGAGGTGGAGTTCCAGACATCTATGACTAAACTTGTAGATGATCAACCAACTGACGATGATGGTTCTTGTACTAAAGAAGAGCCCGGAGAAATAGAGGTTTTAACCCAAGAACCTCAACAGCAACAAGATTTACCAATTGCAGTTAGGAGGCCAAGAAGAGAAATTCAGAAACCTGCTCGATTCCAAACTATGGTGGCCTATGCACTTCCGATTATTGAAGAAGGTATACCATAGAACAAAGCCATGGACGAGGAAATGCATTCCCTTGAAGAAAATCACATATGGAAGCTAGCTGAGCTACCGAAAGAAAAGAAGACAATTGGTTGCAAGTGGGTCTATACTCGGAAAGAAGGATTTCCCAATTGTAACGATGTTCGCTACAAGGCAAGATTGGTAGCCAAAGGCTATGCTCAAAATGAAGGAATTGATTTCAATGAGGTATTTTCTCCTATTGTAAAACATTCCTCTATTCGTATTTTATTGGTCTTGGTAGCGCAATATGATTTAGAACTAGTTCAAATGGATGTAAAGACGGCATTCTTACACGGTGATTTGGAGGAGGAAATCTATATGATTCAACCCGAAGGATTTAAAGTTGCTGCAAAAGAAGATTGGGTATGCAAGTTGAGCAAATCGTTGTATGGATTGAAACAATCTCCAAGGCAGTGGTACAGACGATTTGATCAATTCATGACCGGCCAGAAGTACACTAGAGCAACTTTGATCATTGCGTGTATTTTCGTAAGCTACATGATAGATCTTTCATTTATCTTCTTCTCTATGTCGATGATATGTTAATTGCTTCGAAAAATAGAGGAGAGATAAGCAGGTTGAAGTCCCAACTCAGCAAAGAGTTCGAAATAAAAGATCTTGGTGAAGCAAAGAAGATTCTTGGCATGGAAATAACGAGAGACAGAAAGAGAGGCACATTGTTCTTGAACCAGAAGCAATATTTGAAGAAAGTACTACATTGATTTGGCATGACTGACAAAACCAAACCTGTGAGTACACCACTTGCTTATCATTTCAAACTTAGCGCTTCACAGTGTCCCAAAGATGAATGTGGTTACATGTCAAAGGTTCCTTATTCAAATATGGTTAGTAGCTTGATGTATGCGATGGTGTGTGTACAAGGCCTGACATTTCACATGCATTTGGGATTGTGAGCAGGTATATGCATGTTCCAGGCAAAGAACATTGGCAAGCTGTGAAATGGATTTTAAAGTATATTCTGAAAACCTTAGATATTGGATTGATGTTTTAACAAAGTAACGATATTGGTCAATATATAGTTGGGTACTGCGATTCAGACTATGCAGGAGAACTAGATAAGCGACGATCAACTATTGGTTATGTATTCACTCTTGCAAATGTACCAGTTAGTTGGAAGTCAACCTTACAGTCTACCGTAGCTCTGTCAACAACAGAGGCAGAATACATGGCCATAACTGAGGCTGTTAAGGAGGCAATCTGGTTACAGGGATTACTGGATGACTTGGGAGTCTGCCAAAAATACGTTACGGTGTTTTGTAACAGCCAAAGTGCTATTCATTTAGCAAAAAACCAAGTATATCATGCCAGAACAAAGCATATAGATGTGCGGTACCATTTTGTGCGGAAAATAATTGAAGAAGGTGGAGTCAGAGTGCAAAAGATTGAAACCACTGAGAATCCTGCTGATATGTTGACAAAGAGTGTAACAGGTATCAAGTTTGAACATTGTTTGAACTTGATAAATGTTCTAAGAGTTTGAAGCATTTGAAGGCCCGATCAATCTGTATGATAGGAGAATTTTGGAGAAGATACTTTGGATGAGATTTGAAGGTTGCCAAGGTGGAGATTTGTTGGAAAAGTCAAACATTGTGGCTCCTTCCTCAATCCCACGTCGCCTAAATTGTGTAGGGGGGGGAAGTTTCCTATAAATACACCCCCTACCCTTTGTTACAATAATCCCGCAGCACAATCCTCGTATTCTAATTGTATTGTATTTCTTATCTTCTCTCATAATATAAGTTTGGTTGGGGTCCGAGGACGTGGGCAAAATTTTGCCGAACCTCGTTAAATTTGATGTTCTTTATTTTGCTCTGGTGTGTTGGTTATTTTGCGGTTATTTATTATGCTTTAATTTTGCTAAGAAAATTCTGTCAAAAGGACTATAAAAGGTCCAAGGAAATTGAGTTTTAAGTGAGTCTCGTGTCTCCTCCAATTACCTGGGAATTTTCTTCGGTATTAATTGGGTACGATATTTTGCCGATCGTGTGGGGCCAACCCATTTTTCGCAACAGCTACATAACTCATCTCCAACCATACCCTCTCCTCTAGTTTTGTAGGGTTAAAAAATATTTTCTTTATATTTTATTTTACATAATTTTTAAAATTACAAATAGGATTCTCTTTATATTTTATTTTACATAATTTTTAAAATTACAAATAAGACCAGCGGAATACTGTAGCACCCGCTGATTCCAGCGGATGAATTCTTAAAATTACAAAGAAGACAGTGCTTCAATGTGCAAGCATACACTTCCATGTTATGAGAAACAGATAGTAAGATATACTCCTGTACTCACTCCAATAAACGTGGCACTGTTAATCTTAACAAAAATAACAATATTCAATCCCAGTAGGTGACCCTCATCAATTGTGACCCTGCAGTTTCTTTTCAGTGTAATGATTTAAGAAGCTTATAGTGCTACACTTGTAAAGGGCTCTGAATTGGGCAAGATCTCAGAAGCAGGTGATTAAGCAAGAAAGAAATATAGTATTACAGTAAAAATGCAAGATTTATTAGTTAGATTGCATTAGCCTTCTCCATATGGATTTGCTCTCCCAATAAGGATTAGGCTGTAATGTAGCACAGGCCCATTAGTAATGGTATTCAAATGCTCATACCATAATAGATTAGGTTTTACAGTAGTTAAATATACTTATCATTTATTTCAGAATCTATAATGTTTTGATTGTTAAGTTTTGTAGTACAGTCTGTTGCCATCCTTCATAGGATCATTATGCCCATATGATTTCTCAGACTGAAAATCAATGAGTTGAAAATCATGTAGGCAGCACTTTACTACATCGAAATTCTGATCAAATAACATTGGGTAATGACAACAGAATTCTAATTCCTAACTATGTATAAGCATTATTGGCATCATTTGTGACTTGATAATACAAAATGAATATAAGGCAACAGAAATGAGAATCATAAAAATCTGCAGGTCAGGTAGGAGCGAATAAGCAGGTTTGAATATAAGAATCCAGTATGCATTCCAACAATGTGAATAACTTAATCTCACCAATAAAGAAACTGCAGTCACCAAAACTATTTCACAATATAAAGAGCAAACAGCCACTCGCTCAAAGGCACTCAAATTGTATATACAATTTCCAACTCCATATTCTGACGAACAAAATCAAGAAATGCTATCTATAATTCATCCTTTCCACTAGCATAATTCAACAGAGATGCAAAATGCCCCTTCAATTATCACCAAAATAGCAACAATAAATTTAGTCCAAAACTACAAACTCGATACTTCCATTGAAATGCAAATTTCCACACGAATTAACAAAAAGGGAAGTAAATACTAAACCACAAAATTTCAATACATATATATATATACATAAAGCATAAAAAATATTCATAAGATCATTACCAAATGGCAGAGTACGTGAAAGCGTGCGACGGAAAAGCAGATAGCCCGTTCTATTGTTCAAAGCGAAATCAACTGGAGATT